TATTCCTTCCACTGACACCAATGATGGGGCATAATTCCTTCCACTGATGGGGCACTATTCCTTCCACTGACACCAACGATGGGGCATAATTCCTGCCACTGACATCAACGATGGGGCATAATTCCTTCCACTGATGGGGCACTATTCCTTCCACTGACACCAACGATGGGGCATAATTCCTTCCACTGACATCAACAATGGGGCACTATTCCTTCCAGTGGCACCAACTATTTCTCCCCCTAATACCAAAGATTGGGCATTGCTTACTTCCACTATGCACAGCCAGTCCCCCTAAAGCCTGAAGGACAATAAACTGGCCCTTTATTTGGAAAGTTTGAAGAACCCTGATGTACAGGCTTGCAAGCACAGAATAATGTGGCAGAATAGGAGACAGGGCTATATGTTATTCCAACAACACATCTGTATAGAGTTGTAAAGCTTGCTTAAGTCAAATATTCAGGAGAGCTTCACTGTGACATTAATAGGTTATTGTGTCACTTGGAACTGTTTAAGATTCTCTCTTGTTCAAATACACATATGTATTCATATATGACTGCAGACTGCAACAGATTCCCATAGGGCTAATCTCTTTGCAAGATAAAGGTCTGTTATGACAACTCAACTGCAGCTGCCAACAGCAACACCAAGGGATTATGGGGATTTATACTTCTATACTCCCAGGTCTACAGTGAATCCTGGCTGTGAAGGAGGAGGGGGGATGACACCCCTTTCTCACTGAAAGAAACAAAAACAACTAATAACCGATATCCCAGTGTAATCACACACCACATCTCTGTTCCGTCGTAGAAATCACGGGTTACAAAGTGTCACAAATTCTTGGCAGCAAAGCACTGAGAAGATTAGAGCATATGGAAAAGATTGAAAGTCACCAGCTGGAGTCTCCTACCATACTTGCAATAAAAGGGTATATTTGGAATTTGTGATTTACAAGCCAAAGCAAACAATAGCTACAGTAACAAAGCCGACAACAGTGTATGCACTGAGCAAAGTTCTTATCTCGTCTGCAGTCCAGCAGGACTGTGAGATTCTAAGGACTCAGTAAACCTTAACAAAAGAAATGTTAATAACAGATACAAGTATGTCAGTAGATTCTTCCAAAGCTTCTTAAAAAATGAGGTATTTGTTATTTTTGTAATTTATAGGTGTTAGGCCTAATGCAAGCTGGGCATTTAGCCCCGATGTATGAGACTCCAGCATTTAGGTGTGGGTGGAACAGGTGCACCGCCCAGCACCACTACTGGCAGCCTTTAAAACTCAATTAGATGCTGATAGCTAAAGAATAAATGTTGAGCGCAAGACAAAAAAGGAAAAAGTAAAGCAGCTAGCACAACGTGGCAAACCCTCTGTCTCCACCAAAACAAAACATTATACTATCAATGTGCAGCACTAATAAAAATGTATGTTATAATCAATGATGACCAGTGTGATTGTGAAAAAGAAAGGAAACATCATAAAAAAGAAATAGGGAATTGTGAATACTCCAATGAAGAAACTAAATAGACAGTATAACAAATGAAAACATATAAATCCTTATATGTTTTCATTTGTTATTGTTATACCGTCCATTTTGTTTCTTCATTGGAGTATTCACAATTCCCTATTTCTTTTTTATGATGTTTCCTTTCTTTTTTACAATCACACTGGTCATCATTGATTATAACATACATTTTTATTAGCGCTGCACATTGATATTATAGAGACTGATAGCTGCTGTGGATGAACGGGGGTGGATGGTGCACCAAATGGTACTACTGTTTAGGGCAGTATGCCCCCGGATGAATGCTCAAAACGCAAGCAGTCTGTGTTTTGAGAATTCATCCCTGTGCGCATACTGCCCTAAACATTGGTACCAGTTGGTGCACCATCCAGCCTCGTCCAGCTTTCAGTCTCCCATAGAGTTTCACAGGCTGCCAACAGTGGGATGGGTCAGAGCATTTATGCCTTCCACCGACACCTAAACGCCAGAATCTCATGTCTAGTGTGCATGAAGCCTTCCACATTTATCACAGCTAAAAAATTTCCAAAATCAAAAAATTACTGACCTGTGGTTCCTTCCTTATGTCACTACAGGGCACACTATTGACATAGGGTCCAGCATGTGGAACAACATAGAGTGGCTGGGGGGGGGGGGGGGGGTGCGGGCAGTCAACAGAAAAAGAAAATGTACACAGGAGGGTTTGTTTTATTGCATGACATAGCATGCAGTTAAGTTCCCACTTGTGTGCAAATATTTCATTTTTAACATTATCTCTGCTTTAACATAGCCCTTAAAACCTAATTTTTACCCTGAACTAATCTTCCTGGGCACCCTGGTTGAAAGAGGTTCTTCTTAAAAAAAGACCAGGACAGAAAATGAGGGAACTCTTTTCAGTTGGACTACAAATTCCAAAGACGATTCCAACAGATGTTCTAACCTTCCCTACCCCAACGAAAACACATATTTTGGGTTAACTCTTTGACATCAGTGGTACGCAAATATGCAGCCTATTGGCAGCTAGGCCTTGACCCTGAGAGACCACATACCTATATTTCCGTACTCAATGTAACAAACAACTGCAAAGAGTGTGCACCTTGGGTGGTCCCGGAACAGTTATCTGCGCCTCACGGAAAGCCCCCAATCGCTACTTGCAATTGGGAGCTTTCCAATCATGTGACTGCTGTGACAGCCAATCACAGCGGTCACATGACCCAAAACCCTGACCCACCTCCTGGCGTCAGAAACCCCTTAAAGGGCTGTGAGGCACCAGCACCAAGGGGCTAAAATACCTTTAAAGTGACTCTTTCACTATTGAAAAATTCAGCTCTCTGCAAAAGATCAAGATTGATACCCCAATGGCCTTGGTCCCTTACTATATTTTGTTTAAAAGTCCCAAGTTACAACTGTGTCTTGCAGAGACAGCAGGACAGCAGATAAAGCCACACAGCATAAAAAGAGCCCAGACATCCAGTGCCACCGGAAGTGTTAGATGATGGAGATTCTTCTCTGATTATAGCTCTTGAAGAGGGTGAAGATCAGTGTCAACGCCTGCTAGAGCAATCCTAGGAGCACTGCATGATTCACCCATAATTGCATGTAAAGTTGTATTCTGGAACTGCAATATATGCAAAGTCACAGACCGCACAGAGATAACTTGCCTCTTAGATGTTGCTTTCTCTGCCTCTGACGTCTTTTAAGACTTCAGACAAATACCGATCTGTAGCTGGGGAAGCAGAAAATTTCTGATATTGCGCATCGTTTTACCAGCATACCACCATGATATCACCTGTTCAGCATTGTCTCAATGCTGCTGCAACATAAAGTAGCTAGGGTCTAGGCCGCTAATAGGGGGGCAAAACCAGCCCATTACTCCAGTGAGGGTACCCAGGGGCAAAGAGGGGACATTTTATTTTCCATGTTGTGCAGAGTATTACCATGAGCCCTTGTTCAAAGTATTTATATTAAAGTTCTCTGGGCCCTATTAGTTAAGACAGAAGGCCTGGGCCAGAAAGAGGAGGTTTTTTTTTATGTTTTTGGGAGCAGGTAATGTAACATTAAGTGACTTGTGTCCCAAAAAATATACTCTGTATGTTATATACTACTGAACCTGCACCCTGCATGATATATACTCCTGACACCTGCACTCTGTATGCCCTGTATACAAAGGCATTTAAGTCCTTCCTACTATTAGTACACACAATTCCGCACAGTGTGCTTGGTGCACTGCTTCATTATTGTCCTGTGTATGTTCAAGGGGGCCCTGTATGGTAGGCTGTACAGGGCACCATGATTTCTAATGGCGGGTAGGGCCAAGCTCTTTTCTCCCAACCATAACACAAATGCTAAAGCTGATTTGCACCTTAAAGCGGAGTCCCTCTCCCACTGTCAAATAAGTCAGCATGTACAAAAACTGTAGCTGCTGACTTTTACAAAACAGTCACTTACCTGTCCCTCGGTCCCGTGGTTTGTCCCCTGCAGCCCGTTTCATCGGCCGTCCTGTATTCCTGGATTCCCATCTTCAGTGTGGGCACCCGACTGTGACTGCTTGCGGCTTCACAGCCGGTTACCCACTGCGCATGCGCAAGTAGAGCTGCGCTTCATGAATGGCCCTGTAGTCTTCTGGGACCTGTCACGTGTCCCAAAAGACTACAGGGAGGGAAGGAGGGAGGACACCTTCCATTTCCAACTGCCTAGGCGATCCGACCAGAATTGGGAGCCGGTTCCTGTCAAATTCGGGTACCCGCTCCCCCCCGCCCCCCAAAGGTGCAGTCGATAAAGCGGACTTCCCCTTTTGGGTGGAGCTACGCTTTAACAGAAATAAATGCTGAAAGAATGGCATAGTCTAGGAACTGTTTTTGAAAGCGCTAGGTATCTGGCTGCTTTCATACTGGCTGCATGCATGTTCCTGGTCAGTGACTTCAAACTATTTCTAAGTAAACAATTACAAGTTATATACACTATATTTCCAAAAGTATTGGTCGGCCGGCCTTTACACTCACATGAACTTTAATGGCATCCCAGCCTTAGTCCGTAGGGTTCAATATTGAGTTGGCCCGCCCTTTACAGCTATAACAGCTTCATCTCTTCTGGGAAGGCTGTCCACAAGGTTTAGGAGTGTGTCTATGGGAATGTTTGACCATTCTTCCATTTGTGAGGTCAGGCATTGATGTCGGACGAGAAGGCCTGGCTCGCAGTCTCCGCTCTTATTCATCCCAAATGTGTTCTATCAGGTTGAGGTCAGGACTCTGTGCAGGCCAGTCAAGTTCCTCCACCCCAAACTCGCTCATCCATGTTTTTATGGATCTTGCTTTGTGCACTGGTGTGCAGTCATATTGGAACAGGAAGGGGCCATCCCCAAACTGTTCACACAAAGTTGAGAGTATGAAATTGTCCAAATTGTGTTTAGGTATGCTGATGCCTTTAGAGTTCCCTTCACTGGAACTAAGGACCAAGCCCAACCCCTGAAAAACAACCCCACGACATAATCCCCCTCCACCAAACTTTACACTTGGCACAATACAGTCAGGCAAGTATCGTTCTCCTGACAACCACCAAATCTAGACATGGCCATCGAATTACCAGACAGAGAAGTGTGATTTGTCACTCCAGAGAACATATCTCCATTGCTCTAGAGTGGTGGCATGCTTTACACCAATGCATATGACACTTTGCATTGCACTTGGTGATGTAACGCTTTGATACAGATGTTCGGCCATTGAAACCCATTCCATGAAGCTCTCTACACACTGTTGTGCTAATCTGAAGGCCACACGACGTTTGGAGGTTTCTAGCTATTGACTTTGCAGACAGCTGGTGACTTCTGTGCACTGTGTGCTTCAACATGCGCTGACCCCACTCTGTCATCCACCACTTTCTGCCTAATAATACCACTAACCGTTTACGTGGAATATTTAATAGCAAGGAAATTTCACGGATGGACTTATTGCACAGGTGGCAACCTATCACGGTGCCACGCTTGAACTCACTGAGCTCCTGAGAGCGACCCATTCTTTCACAAATGTTTGTAGAAGCAGTCTGCATGCCTAGGGGCTTGATTTTATACACCTGTGGCCATGGAGGTGATTAAAAAACACCTGAATCCAATGCTTTGGAGGGGTGTCCCAATACTTTTGGCAATATAGTGTAGTTCTCAGTACATATTTCTTCTAAGTAATGATTATATTGCTTGATTAGACTGATAAAATAAAAGCCAATTTGAAATTTTCTCTATAGTTTTATTTGATATAGATAATTAATATAAAATAATTCCACCTGAGGTCTTGAGAGTGTCTGCCAAATGAAAAGCTGTTTTTAGTGTCTCAAACTCTTTCTGGGCGACCTCCTGGGATGCAGAATGCCTACAGGGAGAGTTTGGAGGCAAAAGGGGTGTCTAAAATTACATAGTATGCGCTGTCTTGCAAACATTGGAAAGTTGATATTATAATTGTCTGGGATACTGATATTTTTTGTGTATTCCTCTTTCCTCTGGGATGATGAATAACTGCAATCAACGAAACAAAAGCTTTGAATCTATAGTAGCTGAAAATAATTTATATGTATTATTATTTAAATAGAGATGTTCTTTGTATTAGGAGTTTTTTTCACAGAAAAAAAGTATAGCAAAAATACTATTCAACAAATATACAGAGGACAACTAATATATAGGCAAGGAGCGCTAGTAAACCTTTTCTGCTCAGCAATACGAGAGATAAAATGCTACAAAGGGAGTTAACAGGGCATTACACACAGTCATGGATTTCTGTATACCCAACCTAGGACGTGGGCTAGAATGGCAGGGCTGGCAGTAACGCATGACAACTTCTAGTAAAAGGATCTAGGCCAGCCTTTCTGAACTTATTATAATGGTTGTAAATCCTTATATAAACCCAGGGAATTCACTAGCCTCAGGTGATACACAAAGATTACTCAAATCCTCCTACATAAGTTGTACCTGTTTATCTGTAGCTCTCTACATCTATTCAAATTACAATAGTTATACAGCTTGTCTGAGCTGTTAGAAAGCTGGGGACGGAGAGCTGAAATTACACGCTGCAGAGCTCAGTGAGGACTGAGAGCTGATTGGAGGGAAGGGACTCCACCTTTTACACAGCACACAGGAACAGAGCTGAGGTTGGTTGTGTGCTGGAGCTCCCTCCCCAGTCACCTTTTCTCTCTTGGTGTCAAGAAAACCTGTCAGAAGTGACTCATGCAGATAGCTGAGGAACAAGGCAGCAGACAGAAATGACACTTAGTGCTCTGGATAGAGACAAGTACACACTATAGACAGATATGCTTTGTACATATTTGATGGCAGAAGTTTACAACCACTTTAAGGTCCCTTGCACATGGAGGTGTCTATCTGCTGTGCATCCCTCCTGGTGTTTTAGTGAACCCAGTAGGGACAAGAGCAGCATCCAGCTGCTTGCCAAGGTTTATGGCAGGCTGAGGTTTGATGGGGCTGAATGCTGTAGTACTAGCATTTAGGGCCCTATGTGTTCAGGGACAAATGCCCGAGCCGACAGTGAAAAATGAAGTGTTCCCTCACATTACTGGTCAAAGAAAAAATGTACATTGGGGTCAGTAGAAAAGTGCTCCCTTACATCAGTGATCATTGTAGTGCTCCCTTACATTGGTGATCAGTGAGAACAATGCTCCTGATATTGTTGGTCAGTGGGTAGAATGTTCCATGCATTGCTGGTCAGTGGGTAGAATGCTCCATGCATTGCTAAGCAGTGGGTAGAATGCTCCTTACATTGGTGGTCAGTGGGTAGAATGCTCCATGCATTGCTAAGCAGTGGGTAGAATGCTCCTTACATTGGTGGTCAGTGGGTAGAATGCTCCACGCATTGCTAAGCAGTTGGGAATGCTCCTTACATTGGTGGTCAGTGGGTAGAATGCCCCCATACATTGGTGATCAATGGGAAGAATTCAACCCTTTCAATGGTGGTCAGTGGGAAGAAATAGGCAGTTTTTGGTACCGATGAACTAACCCTTTAAAGTACCAACTAAACTTTCAGTTAAAATCAGCTATATGCATTCCAAGTGCATCAAAACAAAAGGTGCATCAACACAAAATGCAACTCTTACAGTTCATTTTCTTTAGAAAGTAGTCACATCCTGAATAAAAGTATGTCCCCTGACACGATGATGTATAGATGGACCTTTGCTCCATGTGTGGTAGCAGTGTTCTCTCTGCAAAGGACACTCCACCTACCAAGTCAGAGCTAGAGTTTGCCAATCTGCGAGAAGCATAAGCCTTTCTGATTGTAGAGCTATAGCTGTGGCTCAGTGGAGGAGGAATGGGCTTGCTGGACCTCTGCAGAAAGACCACTACTTCTGTAGGTTCGTTCCACAGGTTCCTTCCACCAACCTTCTATTTAGCTGCTAAATGACGAAGCAGTCTGTGCACTGTGAAGGACACAGTTATCCTACATTCTCAAAAGGGGCTTTCCAAGGCTCCATTGATGCATCAGTCCTCAGCCCATTACAGCATAATTGACCACATTACTTTTGTTGGCAGGAAATATTTTAATGTGCAAAGAAAAAGCTCTTACACAAAGATATGTCTGTTAGATTTAAAGAATCGCTCAATCCAAAAGTCATGGTTTAGTAATGTAGATGGAGACTAGTCATAAGGATCAGCTTTTGTGAGATGTCTATAGTCCCCAGAGTTGTTCCAATCCACCTCAGAGTCTTTCTCCTCCTGCTGCAATGTTTTCACTTTGCCTGTTGTATTCTCCAATATATACTGTATATACACAACAGAAGGAATGTAAGCTCTTTCTATTAGCCATGGAACTCACAGCAAAGATCTCACCACTGAATCCCCCAGGGGACAATAGAAATGGTTAGGTATTTGAATGCTCTAACATCTACCACAACCTGAAATAACAGTTTTGGATAGATGGATTCTTTGACCATATGTAATTGGAAGATAAAATGGGACATGCATATAACTACACTGACTTTGCGTCTACCTACATTTGCATATGCCAGCTTGCACCAGCAATCAACAACCTGTATTATTATTATTATTATTATACAGGGTTTATATAGCGCCGACAGTTTGCTCAGCGCTGTACATTATGGTGGGAGACAGTACACGTGACAGTACAGTAACAATACAATTCAATACAAGAGGGGTTCGAGGGCCCTGCTCCTTGGAGCTTACAATCTAGGAGGGAGGGGATAGTGGTACAGGAGGAAATAACTGTGGGGGATGGAGTGGTTGGAAGAGTAGAGGAGTTCAGTATTAGCTGAGAGCAAGGTAGGCTTCCCTGAAGAGATAGTTTTTCAGAGTGCGCCTAAAGGTGAGCAGAGTAGGTGATAATCTGATGGATTGGTTGATGCGTTTCACGCTACTCTCAGCGCTTAATCATGACCACTGCCAAGAGTAGTGCGAAAGGCATTAACCTCCCTTCCCCCACTGCACCCTTTAAACTGATTTTATGCTGCTTTGTACAGATCACCTATTGACCCACAAGCTGCTAATGTTATAGGATTGTCAGTGATCTGATTGCGGGGTAAGACAAAGATGCAGCCTGCAGTATCTGTATCAAAGAGGAGAGAACAAAACACATGTTGCTCACTTGCTCATTCCGAGTTTAAGGTGTTAAACAGAAATGGATCACATTATACAGATAATTACTTTCTTTATATTGGCAGCGCAGGCCACATGGAAAAGTGTATCAATTTGTATTAGAGAATTTCCATTACTAACATAAAGCATACTAAACAGAGAATGTCAGAACAAACACGAAACTGAACAAACATAACATAAACCAAATGTGACTAACCTGTATTAAAGAGAAGAGCACAAAAATCATGTTGCTCACTTGCATTCTGAGTTTAAAGTATTACTAAACCCAGGGCCCTGTATTCACTCTATCTGGTCTTTCACAGTACACAGAACGTGGAAGTGCAATTATTTTAGTAAATATAAACTGCTAAATACACCTGAATAAGTGTGGTGCAATTTATCAGTTTTTTATAGAGCGTTTTGGGAACGAATGCAGAATTGTGACCATACAAAATGTCTAGATGTGAATGGAGCCTTATGGATGTACTGCACCATGTTATTAATAAACATCTTATATGTCTACAAAATAGCTAACCTATCCAAAGCATCATTCTTTTACTAAGAACATGGAATTGTATATTGGCCGCAATACATGCTTGCAGTCGTGGATTTCAAAAGCACATCTTGTGGATTTTCCTAAGGGCTCATGCACATGGACATATTTAATATAGGGCTGGTTCCCACTACATGTGATTCAGTGTGCTCTTTTTTCTGCATCCAAAATGCACAAAAATAGGTTATCAGTGTCATAGTTCACATCAGTGCTTGCAGTTCCAGTGCATTCTGGATGCAGGAAAAGAAAAAGGAGAACAGGCTGCATTTTTCCTGCACAGAACTGTACTGGAATGTGGTAAAATGCAAAAAAAATGCTCTGCAACGCACCAAAACACACTGGAACGCACATGCGCCAAAACACACACAAAACGCACATGCAAAAATGTATCTGGAACACATCTGGACTATGTTTCTACACATCTAACCAAGCAAAGATTGGCTTGGTTAGATGTGTCCACTGGCTGTCCTGGCCAGGAAAAGGTGCATCTGAAACCGGAAATGTAACGTCACTTCCGGTTTCACTGTTTGCATGTGAGATTGAGGCATGGATTTGCCTTGGTCTTACAGCACTCTTCTTCTCCTAGCCAGCAGTTGTGTTCCGGTAAGTGCGGAGATCCTGGGAACCACAGGAGGTGGGGGTCACCCGCGGGAGGGGATGGGGGTGCACCTCGCTGCTGGCTCTGTGAAAGTCATCGGCAGCTATGGAGCAGCTGCATCACTTTCACTTTGAAGCCAGCAGCCGGAGAAAGAAAGAAAGAGAGAAAGAGTGAAAGAGAGAAAGAGAAAATAGAGAGAAAGAAAGAAAGAAAGAGAGAAAGAAAGAAAGAAAGAAAAAAAGAAAGAAAGAAAGAAAGAAAGAAAGAAAGAAAGAAAAGAAAGAAAGAAAAGAAAGAAAGAAAGAAAGAAGAAAGAAGAAGAAAGAAAGGAAAGAAGGAAAATAGAGGAAAGAGAAGGAAAGGAAGGAAGGAAGGAAGGAAGGAAGGAAGGGAGGAAGGAAGGAAGGAAGGGACAAAGGGAGATCAAGAGAAAGAAAGAAAAAGAAAAAGAAAGAAAGAAAGAAAAAAAAGAAAGAAAAGAAAGAAAGAAAGAAAGAAAGAAAGAAAGAAAAGAAAGAAAGAAAACACATATTAAAGAGGTGGCATGCCACCATGGATCACTTTTTAGAGCAATGGCTAGTTTGAAGCCAACGAGCTACAACAAGCCGGAGGCGATTAAAAACACTTGATTTTTTGGATCTATCGACTAAAAGAACAAAGGTGTTCATTCTATGCAGGAAAAACCAGAAGCAAACATTAATACCGACAGATATTCCAATTCTACAATTGATACAACCAGCATTTCATCCCCAGGTGATTTCATATAAACTCTATTAGAAAACTTCGACTAAGAATCTAGATATCAGAGAAAACCCGAAAACATATCTATTGCACAATAAAAAAAAAAAAAAAAAGCCGTATAAAGCATTACCATTTCCCACATGGAAAGTGTTACTCATCAGAAGAAACAGTAACCATGTGTTCTCTTGGCTTTTGCTGAAAACAATGGATGGGATAATGATTCTGTCAACAAATACAACAAGTCCAATTTGAACGTATGTCATCTACCGCACAAGTTACAGGAAAGAAAATCAGTGCTAGACTTACAGTGTGGCTGCGGAAAATCTCTGCTCGGGAGATCAATTCAGTGACTCCTGTATCCAGTGTTTAATTACAGGTACACCTGGCTCTTTGTCTAGCATGGTCCCGCCTGTCCCTCTGCATGTACGCTAAGCATGCTCCACCCCAGATCTGATCATCCTTCACAATCTGTGAGTTGGGATTTCTTCGTCAAAAAAATAAAAGAAAAAAGTGTCTTTCTTTCTTTCAAGTGAACCGGTAACAGATGTTCACATCATCCATTATTTTCAGCAATGGCAGCCAATGAGAGCTGCAAAAACCAGTCACAAGTAGCGAATGCTAATAAATAGCGGATGTGCTATAGCTTGGTGAATTGAACCTTTTCCTCTAGACATACAGGGGAATAAAGTGGACCTAAACTGTATCTGACCACCACAAACTGAAAATGTGATTCTATTTTTAATAGACATTTTGTTGCGAACCGAAATTTGGACACAATTTTTGTTATTTGGAGATTCAGATGTATCCGAATTTCAGAATCACAATAGTAATGAATTTCTACAAATCCAAAATAAATTATAATGAAGTGAATGATCCAAATTCAAATTTGAAAATTAATTTGAATAGGAAAATTTATTTGAAATTGAAAATGAATTTGAACTCGAAATGGAAGCATATTGCAATAAATATAGTAAAGAATAAAAGTGAAATAAGATGATGATTCCTACTTAAGCTGCTTTATAGAATAGAACAAAACACAATAAAGCAGAATAGAAAATAATAAAATAGAATACAATATAGTAGAAAAGATGAGAATAGAATAGAAAATAAAGGAATAGAATAGAATAAAATAGAAAAAAAACAATAGATAGAATAAAACAAAATTGAATAGAATAGAAAATAAAAGAATAGAATAGAACAGGATAAAAATAAAACAATAGAATAAAATAAAAGCAAATAGAAAATAAAGGAACAGAATAGAATAGAATAAGATGGAATAGAAAAGAATAGAATAGAACGAAATAAAATAGAACAAAACTAAACGAATAGAATAGAAAATAAAAGAATAAAAAAAAATAGAACAGAATAGAATAGAACATAACAGAATAGCTAATAAAAGAATAGAAAACAAAAGAATATAACAGAATAGAATAAAATAGAACAAATACAGCTGTCTTCTGAAATTCGAATTTCAAAATTTGAATATCGATCTGATTTGAAAATAATGAATATACAAAACAAATCCAAATATACGAAATGAACTCCAAAAATGAATCATCCTAACATATTGAATATGATGAAACAAAACTATTAACCTAATGAATGAATCCGAAATGAAAATAATGTTTCTGTTGTGTACATTGTTTACATTTTTAACATTCAAAGCAAACTCCACCATCCATCCATCCAGGTCTCAATGATTTATTTTGCTGAGAAATCACTTTAAAAAACAACCTCTAGCATTTTTAGCTGCTCCCATCCTGAATAAGGGCAGATAATCCATGTAGCTTTTTCTTCCTGGCATCCATCTGCCCTTAGCTCAGGCATGCAGGCAATAGGGTGTGCTTAGCTGAGAAAGCCCCTCCTCCAGATGAAAGATAAAAGATGAAAGACTCCTGGGATATTATTTTGACCTAGGCCAGAAACTAGGAAGTAACTGTAAAAAAAAAAGGTTTAAAACAAAGTAAATATAAAAATGTGTTCCTATTTACTAAGGCTAGTGGCATAAGGATTTAAAATAGTTCATGTTAATTGAGAGAGTTTAGTTCCACTTTAAAGTGTTATTAAACCCAGGACCCTGCATTCACTATATCTGGTCTTCCCCGACCCTGCATTCACTATATCTGGTCTCCCAGGACCCTGCATTCACTATATCTGGTCTCCCCAGACCCTGCATTCACTATATCTGGTCTCCCAGGACCCTGCATTCACTATATCTGGTCTTCCCCGACCCTGCACTCACTATATCTGGTCTCCCCGGACCCTGCATTTACTATATCTAGTCTCCCCAGACCCTGCATTCACTATATCTGGTCTCCCAGGACCCTGCATTCACTATATCTGGTCTCCCCAGACCCTGCATTCACTATATCTGGTTTTCCCGGACCCTGCATTCACTCTATCTGGTCTCCCAGGACCCTGCACTCACTATATCTGGTCTCCCAGGACCCTGCATTCACTATATCTGGTCTCCCCAGACCCTGCATTCACTCTATCTGGTCTCCCCGGACCCTGCATTCACTATATCTGGTCTCCCCGGACCCTGCATTCACTATAACTGATCTCCCACAGTACACACAACATGGAAGTGCAATTAATTTAGTAAATATAAACTGCTAAATACCTTTTCTCATTAGCAGTTAGAGCAGTCTTGTGACTTCAGCAGAGCACTGGTTAAAGCTTGTAGGAGGAGTTTTCTTTCTACTCTAGGAGGATGCAGAGCCCCTGACCTCTATCTGGACAGTGCTGATTGGCCCTGTGCTGGTTACAGGCACTCTCCCAAGGAAAAAAAAAACTAGCAATACACACCAAATTGAGCATGTGCAGAGTGACTCCACACTATATGTCATATCAGGAGATATGAGGGTGGCACTGGAAGAAGGGGAGGATCAGAGAAGACAGGATCGAACAGCGTTTTTACACAATGCAAAGGATTATCCCCTTAGGTCCACAGTGAGTATAAAAGCATGCTTTACTGCATATACAGACTGATTTTACTGTTGTGGGTTTAGTAACACTTTAAAGAGTATAGATATAGATTTATTTATTTATTTATTTATCGAGTTTATATAGCGCCAAAGGGTTTGCTCAGCGCTGTACAATAGAGGGGGGACAATACATGAAACAGAACAGTAACATCAAACAGCACACGAGGGGTTAGAGGGCCCTACTCTTTCGAGCGTACAATCTAGGAGGGAGGGGGTAGAGGCACAGGAGGAAACGGCTGTGGGGGATGGAGTGGTAGGAGGAGGGAAGGGCAGCGGCTGTTAGGTGAGGGTGGGGTAGGCTTCCCTGAAGAGGTGGGTTTTCAGGGAGCGCCTGAAGGTGAGGAGGGAAGGTGACAGTCTGATGGATTGGGGTAGTGAGTTCCAGAGGATGGGGGAGGACCTCGAGAAGTCTTGCAGTCGTGCGTGGGAGGAGGAGACCAGGGAGCAAGATAGAAGGAGGTCCTGTGAAGAGCGAAGGGTACGGGTAGGGTGGTACCTGGGAATCAGGTCGGTGAGGTAGTTAGGGGCAGTGTTGTGAATGGCCTTATAGGTCAGGGTGAGCAATTTAAATTTAATGCGTTGGGCAATGGGGAGCCAGTGGAGGGAGAGGCAGAGGGGGGTGGCAGAGGTGGAGTGGCTGGTGAGGTGGATGAGTCTGGCCGCTGAGTTCAGGATGGTCTGAAGCGGGGACAGCCTGCACTGGGGTAGGCCGGTGAGGAGGGAGTTGCAGTAGTCCAGGCGTGAGATAATCAGGGAGTGTACGAGTAGTTTAGTGGTGTCTGGGGTAAGGAAGGAGCGTATCTTGGCGATATTGCGGAGGTGGAGTCTGCATGTGTTTGTGAGAGATTTGATATGAGGTTGAAAGGAAAGGTTTGAGTCCAGAATGACGCCAAGGACTTTGGCTTGCTGGGCGGGATTGATGGTGGTGTTGTTGGTAGTGATGGAAAGGATGGGGGGGGTGGCGCGGGCTGGGGGGAAGATGAGAAGCCGGTTTTGGAGAGGTTGAGTTTGAGGAAATGGAGCGACATCCAGTCAGAGATGTCGTTTAGGAGGTGAGTGATGCTCTGTAGATGATCTGTAGACGTCTGTCTCTCGGTATTGTGACAAATGCCAGGTCATGGAACAGATACATGTACGTGTCAGCATGATGTATTGGAATCTGTCACAACTCTAAGAGGACTGTTGCACTCAGCACTCCTGTAGAGTGTCTGACTTTCATAAGTGGAGTCGATATTCGGAAAATGTCGCAGAGTGCATGTTAACAATTTAGGCAACGCTTACATACTGTACATTCACATCACTCCCTGATAGGGACGAGCTGAACTACCCTGGACTTGTTTCACGCCTTGTACAGCAAACTTCAAAGAAGTTCAAATGCCAAACCTGAACCCCACTGAAATCAATGGGAGCGGAATCTGTCCAATGAAAAACATCCATTTTCTGAGCTAATAGCAAAGGGGTGTCAAGAAAATAGCAAGGGAGAGGTGGGCACTGATCTGGGGAACCTTTACCAATGTACTAAAAAATGCACAAATTCTATTTTCCATTTGGACAGGACATGTATTTCCACGGGGTCTTTGGAGGGGTCTGTGATTTTTAGAAAAAAGAACAAACTGAAGTTCGAAGCTGATTGGCTAGCATGCACAGCGGCACCAGATTCTCAGGGCTCCAGTTTTAGTAAATCTCCCGCTTTGAGTCTGGTATGGATTTTAAAGGGGATTCTTGCAAAAAAAAAAAAAAAAATGTGTGAGGTCCCCAAACAGAACCTAAATCGGAGCATGCAGCCAGGAAAGGGGGGGGCTGGGCGTGTGACCCCCCCGCTCCCATCTTGAACCATGCTAGGCCCCATGCTAGGTACCTTTCCAGTGGGGACCCTGCCAAAGCACAATGATGAGGACAAGGGCCTCTTCCCCAAAACCACCAGCCAGGGTTGTGGGGGTCTTCTGGCAGGGGCTTATCAGAATCTGGAAACCCCCTTTAGTAATAAGGGGACCTCCAGATACTGCCCCCCACCCACATGTGAATGAGTATGGGGTACACACAGGGGCGGACTGACAACTCATGGGGCCCCCAGGCAATCGGGGATCATGGGGCCCCTGTGTCCTTGCCCAAACTCAAAAAAGCCTATGAAAAAGGTACCAGTGGCATCTCATGGGGCCCCCTACTGACCCCGGGCCCTCAAGCACTGCCCGAGTTTCCAAATGGTCAGTCTGCCCCTGGGTACACATTCTATAGCCCATGGTCCCTAATCCATATTAGGGTCAAGCAAGTGAGGGTGGCTACGTTCCTACATACAGTGGGACCATAGAGAACAAATATAGCCACCTCTAATAGGACATCAGATCACAGGCGCAAAAAATCTAGCAGCTGCAGGGTGTCATATTTTTAGTGCATTTTTAAAGGTGTGTTTTTTCCTCATTTTTGGAGCACCGCCATTCATTTAAAAAGGGACATTCTCTGCTCCAAAAATGCACCTGCACCTGTTTTTGGCGCTGACTTTGATGCATTTTTTGATGCATTGTGTTTTTGATGCATTTCTGCTGCATTTGTGCTGGTTTCTCCAGCAAGACAACAGACACCACCCAAAAATATAAAATGCATCAAAAACACATTATAAACACATCAAAAATGCATGTGAGAAGATGCAAAACACACTGGAAAAATGCAACCTGCATAGGTGTGAACTAGGCCTTATTGTGTTCCTGTCATTCATCCCTGGGTGCATACTTCCCTAAATGTTAGTAACACTCAGTGCACCATCCAGCCCTGGTCATCACCCAGTGTGCATGGGGCCTAAGTAATAAAAACCTTACCATGACATGGCAGGTGCAAATTGGATCGTGTTTTGCTGGGGTTTTTTTTTTTGCCTTCCTCTGGATCAACTGTGAGTATAGGATTATAACTTCTTCTTTTTTTTTGCTATGGTTGAACTGGATGGACTTTTGTCTTTTTTCAGCCAGAATAACAATGTAACTATGTAACTGTGTTAAAGTGATATTAAAAGCATTTTTTTTACTTGCCTGCTCTGTGCAATGGTTTTGCACAAAGCAGCCCTGATCCTCTTCTTGGCTCCCCTGCCAGCTCTCATGGCCCCTCTACCCTGCCTAGTGCCCCCACAGCAAGTAGCTTGCTATGGAAACACCCAAACAGGTTTGCTCCTGAGCCGCTGCTCTGCGTGTCCATTCACACACAGAGCTGCGGCTTGGCCCCGCCCTCTCTCTCTCTCCTCATTGGCTCACTGGCTGTGATTGAGAGCAGTGGGAGCCAATGAGGATGGAGAGTCCCTAGAGAGCAGAGGCTCTCGTTCACACTGCTGGATCATGATGGGGCTCAGGCAGGGTCGGTGCTAGATTATTTTGTGCCTAGGCAAGACCAGCTATTTGCGCCCCCCCAAAATAAATAAATAAATAAAGGTTTTTAAAAACAGTAGAAAATATTAACTCAACAAAACATGAAACTGCTACATTTCCTTCAATTTGCATAAATTAGAGCCTTAAGATGCTACCAGCACCAATATTAAAGATAAAATATATATTAACCAAATATAAATTATCTGCATTAACTAATCAGACAGAAACAAAAAAAAAAAAAAACAGTTACAAAACTCCACAGTGATCAGCAGCCGCCAGCTGGCTTGTAGTAAGGGACTAAGTCTGAGAGGAACACTGGAAGGAGCAGCAGCTCAGCACTGGCTCCAAACACCCAGCATCTTCCTCTGTCTTTTCTTCCTCCCCCTCTGCCATCCCTCCCCTCAGCTGAAGGATCCAGCAGCATCTCATACAATCAATCAACAACTGCTCCCCTCACCTCAACTATTGTCCGCCCCCCTCCTCCTCCTGTTACTCCCATGACCTGCCATTCTCCTAGGCTCAGCTCACCTCTGATGGCTCCTGCCGGGGTGCGAAGTCCAGGCTGCGGCTCTCAGTGAGGACAGGCGGCCTCCCAGCACTACACCACTTCCCTCTCATTGGTCCCCGATTATCCTACTCACATAGGGTTAATCCTGCAACCAGAGCACAGCCCTGATTATTGATTGGCTCCAGCTGTGTAGAAGAAGGTGGAGCCAGCACTGGACATGCCCATTCAGTCACTAGCCGGCTCCCTGTTACAGCTGGAGGATCGTGTGTGCTGGTGTGTGTACCGGAGATGTACAGACCGATCCTCTGATCAGAGACTGTGGACAGCCCGGGGTCCTGGGCTAACTCCATCACTTCCCATTCTTGTTGGAGCCGACACTTCATGGCTACATGGACTACTGTCACATATATATATATATATATATATATATATATATATATATATATACTAAATGGTCATGTGTGTGGACAGGCCGTAGGACAATTGTGAAAAGTAAAGATACCATCATTCCCTGTGTAAGAGGAGAGGGGAATTCTGCAGAAAAATGAGGAATTAATACAAGAGGTCCATAGGCCACACAGAGAGAGTGTCTGCCTGTGCAGCACCCAGGTGCCCCTAGGTGGCAGTAAGCCCTAGGCAGCTGCCTAGTTTGCTTAGTAGAAACTCCGGCTCAAGGGGGCTAAGGGGGGAGCTGCACACAGAAGGTTTGTTTTACCTTTGTG